GACGAAGCTGCCTTGGCCCCTAAAAGGAGCCGGTCTGAATATCATCGAAAGCATTTGGAGGCGCAGCAAGGTAGCCTTGTCACGGCGTCCCCTCCACCGCGCCACTGCCTACAAATTGTGGAAAGCAATGGGAGGTGAATGGGAGTGGCTTCGGGGCTGAGCCAGACTTCGTGGCCGCGCTCTATGATTTCTTACCAGACAGGATGAGAGACGTGGTCGGGAGCCAAGGGAGAATGACGCAGTATTAAATTATTTTGCAAGTTTTACTGCGCCTCGGGGCCCCCTGAACTGGACTTCTGCCGATTGGAACAAAGCTTGATGCTACGGTTGCGACACCCTGTTTGATGCCGTTAACCACACATACTTTTTGAGGGGTGCCTCCTTCATCCCGATCTTCTTGTATAGTGCAGTCGAACTTCCACGCCGACTATTAATCTTTTGTGTCTGACAATGTCCTCTGCAAATATTTTTTTCGATTAAGCTTCAATCTCCTTCTCTTGACAAATATATGACTGTTTGTCCGACCTTATTAAGACTGGGAATTCGTAAACAAAAAACTGGTGTCTCGTCAGCAACTTGTTTTGCTTGAAACAAACACGTGGGCCCAGTAATGAAGAAATAATATTTTTATACCTTTTCATACTAATCAAGGTTACAAAACCTTCCCAGTAACTTGTATGCTTACCGTTTTGTGAACATATGTGATTAGTGAAAGAGAAAAAAAAGAATAAATACATTGGAGCCGGACTAATTCCGGCAGACAGATTTTGGCCTGTATATTACGATGTCCCCTCTTGTGCATGCACCTATAATCAAACAAAAACAACCTGCAGCGTATTTTGATATGCCTTTCAAACACGGTAATCGCAGTTGAAATTTAAGACACTTCAATACTTTTTCTTCACCAGTCAGCGTTTTTTCTACGGGATTTTACGCGATACAGTAAAGTAAATCAATACCGAAAGGGGAACGATAAGTGTAATCTTTTGTTCCCCCCACCGCCCTATACTACACATGCCCGCTGTCGCGCCCACCCTCTCGCTTGCAGACAGCCGGAAGAGCGCAGTGGCGCAGCGAGCGCAAGTGAAAAAATATCTCGGACTCAGGGTGCACCATGTGTGCGGAGCAAGGCGACAGGCGGCGCAGGTAGTACCGTCCGCAGGCCGGAGCGCTGTTTCAGCTCATATTGTCCGCGATAGTACCAGTCCCCCAAGTATTGTATGAAATGAATAACTTTTCGCAAAGTTATTGAAGATTCGAATTTCGTTCTCATCGTGTTTCTCAAACCGAGAGCCCCTACTGGCAATACTGAACTGTGACGACAGAAATGTTTTAATGTGGGCTGTAAACCACGTTACTAACTAATCACAAGACGTTTTATGGTGGCAAAAGAATGTTTCTAAGCTCATTCAATGAAATTCACTAAAACAAAGTTGGACATACTCGGTTTAAGGCAACCTGAACGATCTTAAGTTATGTTCCATTTGTGACCTCACATCACTGGAGGGCGCGCGGAAATTCGAATGTTGGTTTCGGCGCCATCATCGTTTACTGCTTTCTCGATTGCTATTTTGAATTTCGAGACAATAAATAGCATACCGTGAATCCTAAAATTTGGGTATTCAGAAAATACAATTTGCCTGGGTAGCTTCAGAGAGGGCCGGAGTACCTTTTTAAATCCAGGCGCAGCCGACGTTGATGAGTTCAATCAGTCTGCGTCAAAAGCGCATCAGCATGCTGTTCCTTATGTTTCGGTACCTGTTCAATCTTCGCTGAACCAATCTGAAACCGAAGGATCTCGTGTCTCGCGCTATTGACGCTATTTGGTCCCATTAACTCGTTGCGTCGTCCTCGTCTGGACTTACACTGAAACGAATAGCTTTTGAGCCCACTCAAACGTAAGGCAAATACGCACGGTTTCTTGTCATAGGTAAGCGTTTCTTTGTTAACAGTGCTGAATTGCACTGGAAGCCATGCAATCGCTTGCAATTTAGTGCGTTTTTGTTCATTTATTTATCAATGCTGTCGGCCTTTTCTTGAAGGCCTTGAGGAGATGTTGAGAGATACTTCTAGAATTGCACCAAAAGTTCGGCAAAGAAAATGCCTTAGAAAATTGCTCTTAATTTTCACTTCTAGAAAGCACATGAACACAACAGAAGCGATGCGTAGTAAAAGTTTATATTATAGCTACTAATATATAACCTCTTTAACTCATTAGCACAACTACAATCCGAGACATATCAAGAGTAAAGTTGAAGCTACACTTAGGTGGTACCAGTTGAACACTAATAAACACAGATATTTACAACTGCTGATAGAGCTTTGTGTTTCTTAGTACTCAGCTAGCACCACCCAAGAGTATGAACCAACAAGTAGTTGGAAGCTACTCCCACCTCGTTCCACATTAGCAGACCGATTGACGGAGAGGTCGCCTCCTCTCCAACGTTTGCTCTGCTAACGTTGAAAGAGGTCAGAAGAGCTTCCACTTCACACTTAACCCACCGCCGACTATAAAACAAACTCAAACTCTTAGTGACATGTTTTTGTTTCACTGGAAAAAGGATGTTTCAATAAAGATTCTAAATGGCACACACTACAGTAAGTGAGCACACGCTCTGAAAGCCCATTGCCCTCTTCAATCACTTCAACAGAAATCAATGTTTGAAAAGACCATTCCTGCTACTGCAGGGTTGAAAACATTTTATTTTGATTTAGAATACGGAATTACTTATGCACTTCTGTTAGATAGAGTTCTGGGTTGAGTTGAAATCCGTAATATAAATGTGGGTATACAAATACTGCTTTGAACTGAATAGCGGATAGTCATTCCTATCTTCTGTGCTCCAAATGGAGGTGGCTCGGCATGGCCTACACCTGCCCCATGAAGGCTATACGTTACAATGCCATATTACGCTTGAGCCTCCATTTGCATACCCCTCATTTATTTTATTGTCAGCGAGGTAACTTAGTTCACATACACTTCTAAGATGAACCACAGGTTCCTAAAATTAATTCCACGTATCATTCATGAAATTAGTATAAAGTTTGTTTCCTTTCAGCGTGAAAATTCTAGAGTTGCCTGTTAAAATGAAATTAAAATCAGTGTTTTTGTAAAGGAAACCTGAATGCGATGTGAAAAAAAATTGCATTACTTTATACACGTTCAATGGACGCACACTTATATTTCGTTCTAAAACTTTTTTAGACAAGTGAATTTCAAAGAAAGCCTTAAGCCACATTTACTTTTCCAGAACTGAAGTGTGATTCTGGTAAACGCGTTTCTGCTCATATTTGGTGCTATTGCGGACTTCAAAGGGCGGACGTGATTTTTTAAAATGCGATGCCTGCCTTTCAGCAGACCATCTCCCCCACCCACCTAAAAAGACTTCGGTGACAAGAAATAAAAATCCATAAAATTAGGAAACATTCCCACGGTTTTATTTAACAAGACTTTCCGTAATATCGTTATTAAAATGGCCACGATATGTTTACTAACGTTCAAGGGCTTCTATTTGTCGCCAGTGTAGAATCATGCTAAAAATATAAATGGTTTTTCTCGACACCCTTCACAGGATTTAATGACTTCGGCATCACACTTGCTTTTCTTGGGTTAGTGCTTTCACTGATCGATACATAGTCCCCTGTGCACCGTCTTCGGATCTTCTATGCAGGTCTATAAGGTTTCTGGAACGTGTGGGCGCTCTATATCCCGTATGTCGTCTCAGACTTGTTTTGGAGTGTGCCGAAAAGTGAAGGTGCCACCTCCTCTGGGAAATAAAATATTGGCAGCTATTAGAGGAAAATGTCTTTTGCTGACTAATCTCTCTACTGCAAGTCTTCGCGGCATGGGGGTTAGTTATTGGTAATGAAATCGAATGCAAAATATTGCTCTATCCGCCGTTAATATTTCTCAAACATGTTGCGCCGGACTCCAGAATAGTATTGCTGGTCACTTGACTTCACTGCGTCACGTGACCTTGTGTAATGTGAAAATACGTTTTATGAGAGCCCAGATTTGCTCACATAGTGATAATGCATTCTGCATGCTGGTTGTTTGGGAGTTATATCAAAGTAATGCCTGAATTATCTTAGTCCGTTTCTGAAGGCAAGGAATCCGTTAAAATAGAAACTATATTTCCTTTTAAAGTTTTTTTATTAAAAAATATGATTGTTCATAAGTTCGTTTAATGCAGCGCCTTAAGAGCGAGTGATACGTGTCATAAATACGGGTTCATTAAGGTTTTGTTTCTGACTTACGACCTGTCTTCTGGGCATTTTGATTGAAGGGCTGGCTTAAATTAGAAACTGGGCCTATAGTGTATGTACAAAAAATGTAAAAATAATTACGATGCAAGAAGCTGGGTGTAGGAGGTGGCAAAAGGGATGTAATGGACAGTTTTTTAAATGGCTTGCGATCTACAATAAAAAGCTAAAAGGTTTTTACCTAAGTGTCGGAGGCTCTGCTGAGACTTCCTACACTCGGGGTGGAATTTCCTTCGAATTTCCGAGGAGAGGAAGAAAACTCAGGCACAGCTTTACCCAGCGCTCAAAAGGGGGATTGCACGCGTACCCGTAGCTTTGACACTGTTGGCAAAAAAAAAGTTTACTTCGAGTATAACAAAGTAATTTGTTTTAATGGGTGTGAAGAAAGCACCAACCTTGATTTTCGCTTGTAGCGGAAGGCTTTGGAAGAATGAAAAAGTCTTAAATCATTTGTAGTGCACGACTTTACTTCAAATTCAGTATGGTAGTTTTGATTGGGCGTATTAGGCATTATGTATGAAATTCGGCAGAGCTAGCGCAGCCCCGAATGTACAGCAGTAAGTAAGATGATGCTGCAAAAAGTTTTCTTTCTTTAGATTAACAGAAATTCTCATGTTAGATTGCATGCGCTCGAATGCCCCTTGACTGTCGCATTTCAAATATGTTGCTTTTTATTTTCCGGTTCCATAATATACGCAGGTCATTTCTTTTCACATGTTCAATCCACAGGAGAAAGAAATGATAGTGCATTTCATACCGATGTCACAACTAAGGAGAATGTCACATATCTTTTTCGACAAGTCTCCAGCTCGTACAAGATGTCCCTCAGCATTGTTGTTAACTGCGCTCGTATCGTTCACCCGGCCTCAAGAGTGGAGAATATATCGGAAGTCGTTTTCGACAAAGTGATTGGTGTCAATCTGAAGGTGAGTAAAATGCACCTGTTAGGCTTTAGTTTTACTCAAGTGCTGCGTTTGTTCCTAGTATTACTAAACTAAATTGTTTCCTAAATTATTAAGGTCCAGTCAAAAGTAGTACCGGACTGGCGACAGGACTGCCAGGAATGAAAACAAAGAACACGCAAAGAGCAATCGTTTGATTTTTTTATTATAACGGATTACACTTTTCGGCATCGAGTTAACCTGCTTTTACGCCATGGTTGTGTAACGAAAAATCAAGGAGTACTAAAATTTAGTTGCATTTAGCTTACACAGTTTGTGAAACGAATAATTCGTTGACTTGGACTTGGATATGCAGGTCACAGTGTAATGGGTTTTATTTTGCTATTTTGTTCTTAAACTCTAGAATGAAATGTAATCCTGGAGTCTAAAATATTTTTTATTGAAATATTAGTTTTCGTTAAAGGGGAACTTTACAATTTTCTGGAAGTTCCTCAAATGTATACCTTAGACATAAAACTTGGTATTAAATTGAATAACACATGTAAAGTATGCCAGAAGTGTATGCTGCATCAAATTACGTTTAACTTTATTTTTAGCTTTGCACAATCCACTTTAGATCGTTCAGTATCAGGTCAGAAATACCAAGAGATCAGCTTGCTTGTGAAACTTTATTATTTAAAGTATTTAATTACCATGTGGCAAAAATAAAGTATTAATTCTAAGGCTCACCTGTGTTTAAATGTCTTACCGCTCATTCACACTGGGTGCGGATCCGCGTTTGCAAACGGTTGCGAACGCAGTTGTATAAAGATCCAGTAGAATTGCACGCGCACTTGATGTCATCGAGTGCGCGTGCGATTGTACTGGATCTTTATACAACCGCGTTCGCAACCGCTTTGCGAACGCGAATCCGCCTCCAGTGTGAATGAGCGGTTAGTCTGCAAGGAACGCCTGTAAATAGTATGATCTGTGCAAAACAAGGTAAATCAGGTTATGACCGTTTCTTGTCTAGAAAAGCTGTAATCGACGTGGCTTCAGTGGCAGTCTTGTTCATGTATCGCTTCGTGACACCGCTTGAGTGAAGACTGACGTTGCATACTCGGGTATCATGAATGTCGTGAGCGTAACTGTGACTTCCCGTAACTTTATACTTATATTGAGTTTGTTTAACATTGTGCCGAATTTCTCGCACAATGTGGGAAGAGATTACATATGCCGTTCTAGTCACCTGAAAGCAATACAGGCTGTAACCCAACCAGTTCGATATCTGACACTACTGGTCCTTTCTTGTTTTTACTTGATGTGTAATGGTGAGCAGAGAAAATCTAGTATGTGCATCATTACGTACAATGAAATTTCATGCTCAACTTAAAAATGAGTTAGCGCGATTTTACATTCTCTTTCCACCGAGGAGTACATTGAAGAATAAAACCCTCCAAAACTGGAACTATAAATTTTGCACCGTATTACTCGATTCAAAATACAAGCGTCAACAGGTTTCTCGGTAATGGGATTTTCGAAAGACCATGCAAAAAGGGCAACTTCAGCCTTTCAGTATAGTTTCAAAGTGTATGGACATCGTTCAATAGGGTGGAGGCCTGTTACGTACGACTTAATTATATATATATATATATATATATATATATATATATATATATATATATATATATATATATATATACAACACGGGCACTTCACGTCATCGTACGTGGTCTCCGAGGGGGATATAAACGAATATGTCCAGATGAATGAACCGTACTTAATCCAATGAATTAAAGAATCCAAGTTTTCAGGAACCCGCCGAAAGCCAAAAATTGGCGGAGCCAGGATATATATATATATATATATATATATATATATATATATATATATATATATATATATCTATATCAGTGCCGATCTGTACGCCGGTGGTTTGCCAATTAGTATGGAGGTGAATTTAATGTTTGAAGTGTACGATTGCAGTTTTAGAGCTTTGATTGCCCGCATACACCTAATACTACTGCGTTTGTGTCATTTTTAAAAACTCTAAAAATGGAAAAAACTCTTCCTTGTTTTAATTTGTTTTGATATGATAGAGGGATATTGCCGGGGGCGCAGCTGACTAAGCAGGCAGCGCACTTGTGGTTTAGCGGTAATCGAGCTTGGCTCCCACTCAAAAAGCCGAAGTTCGATTCCTGGCTGAGGATGCACGTTTTTGTTGTTTCTGTAAATGTCGCGTTCTGGCAAATTCTGGGGCATCCCAACAATGACCACAACGAGAGGATTTGTCACTTGTTCCCAAGGTTCATAGTGCAGTGAATGCTATGTGTCGCCTTGGGCTTCAGGAAGGTGCCGTGTTCTGCCTTATCACCAGCTCTGAGATTGTAGTCACGTGACCAAAAACGGAGAAATGATTGACCAAAAACACGAATATCGTCTACCCTGCTGTCAATACCGAGTGAACAGGACAGCTTTTATGAACTCCAGCCTTTGAACTTCCATAGAAGCTGTCCAGCCCAAAAGCGACCGAAAACGATGCAAGCTTGAAGATACTATGCTTTACGCCGTATAAACCACATTATAAATTTAAATGAAACACTAGGCGTGTCTATTTTTTGCGCAAAATGTCCACAAATAAATAAATAAACAAATAAATAATAAATATATATATATATTTTTACCAATAAATTTAGAATTATGTGTAAACTGTTAGGTTTGCGTTTTTAAACTTAAATTTTTTATACAAAAAAGTTACATATAAAAGACACCACAAACAGCCCATCTTCCTAGTTTCAACAAACGATGAATCACTGACGCTCGCAAACAAACAGATGTGCTTCTGCGCGAACGGTTTTTGAAAGATGCTGTGCAGGGTACTCTGGGTGCAACGGCTTCACCGACGTTCGAAGGTAAAATAATTCGCGACGACGGAGTAGCGTCTAGCATCTTCAGTAAGCTAACGGTTCATGTTTCCCCACTAAATTTAGCGGGGTGGTTACATCGATGCCGACGGCGACGCCGACACCGCTTAACGCGGAAACGGGCGCACAGCTGCGATTTAAAGTTCATTACTTGATTAACTCGTTTTCCGGTCTTACACACTTCGTCCTATTGTCACAGGTCAGCCACAGAACCAAATTTTCTTTGCATTCCAATCTTCAAAATTTGCACTTGATTAATTGGTCCAGATATCTGGAATAACTTCACTTTTAGGATGTTAACAATAGTTAAGCAATTACACGAGACTCGTGCAATAGAGGCAAATAAACTAGGGTCTTCGCAAGTATACATATGCCTTTTTGCTCGCGCAACCGGAACGGGCCCATATATAATTAAGAGGGGATATATATTTACCCATATATGTCCTGAACGGGCTATATATGACAGTATTTGAACTTCTATACAGCGATATATAGCCGTATTTGCACGCGTATAGGGCGATATATGGCCGTATTTACGCACCTATATGGTCATTATGGCTGTATTCACCCACTTATATGGCAATATCTGGCCATATTTGCTCTCATATATTTGGGTATATGGCCATATTGACTCCTTATACTATCATATATGGCCATATGTAAAATATATCAGGGCCACATATGACATTTTCGTACCGGTGGCCTCACTGTTATAGTATATAGGTTTCTCAGCATGCAAGGTTAAGTTTTAGAGCGCAGCTCTTAGGCGCCCGTTTCCGGCTCGAGCGGCGTCGCCGTCGGCGTTACCGTGAGGTCACGTGACCCCATTAGGTCCGGGGGTCACGTGACCCCCTCTCTTCGCCCCCCTCGAGATCAAATGACCCCCGTGAGGGAGGAGGAGAAAGGAGGGGAGCAGAGGGGATGGGCAGGGGAGACGAATCCGAATTTTCATTACTCCGAAAAATCATTTTAAAAGACTTTTATATATCGTCCCTCGGCCGGCTTCGAACCGGAGCCCTTTCGTTCAGGAGTAGCAGGCAGGATCACGAGGGAGGAGAGGGATGGAGGAATATACCCTCCCCTCAGTACCCCTCAACCCTCCTCCTCCGCAAGAGCTGCACTCCAATTTGGCGTTACAGGGAGTTGTAAAGGGCTTTAATTTTGTTATGTGTTAAACAGTGTTAAATTCAGCTGGACTATGCGGTAGTTAATGCTGCACCTCTGTTTTCCCCCACAAGTCATTAAAAAGCTCGAAAAGAGAGCTAGAGATTTCAAAATGAAAACAAATTGATTTGATGGCCATTAAGCGAAACGCTTGACCAAAATTTGAAAACCATCCTAATATTATATATTGTATAATTAAGGCATACGCCAACATGAGTTTAATACGATTGTGTGCTTTCTTCTAGTCAGACAATAAATAGCTGATTTTTGTTTTTTTAATGGACGTCTGTATTTTCATGCATCTGTTGCACACACGAACGAGTCAGCGACATGTTACTTCAAAAGCATTAACACAGCTCACTTTCTTGCGGGGTACTCACCTCGTTACAAAAGGAGCTCTGACATTGATGCTGCGGAAGAAGAATGCCACAGGCCGGACCATTCTAAACATTGCCAGCGTGTCTGGCAAGGGTGGCTACCCGTTCCTGAGTGCCTACTCGGCTTCGAAGGGCGCCGTCATCTCCTTTACAAAATCTGTGGCGTTAAAAGTTGCGCTCAAAGGAATTCGCGTCAACAATATCCTACTTGGCTACACGGACACACACATGACACAGGGTACCCCCAACTATATAAGAAATCGCATAATTTCGACGATTCCGATGCGGCGGATGGCGACAGCGCTTGAGATTTCCGAAACTATTGTCTTTATGTGGGCCCCGAGGAGTACGTACATGACAGGATCCAGCGTTCTGGTGTCTGGAGGCTCGTACCTATAATTCAAGGCCTATATTATTTCGATAATCTGTTAGCGATGTCGTTGTGAGTATGCTGAAAATCGATACAGTGCTCTTGTTTTTCTTATGCTGATTAAGACTGGTGCCGGTAAATGGCAAGATTGAAAGTATCGTATAGAAAGCTTCTGTTAAAAAAAATGATGGTCAATAAATAGCATACGCGTGAGCAGTTTTATCATACCACTTTCTAGTTGTGGCAACTAAAGACGGACGAAGAGCATGCAATAAAAATGGCAATTAAATTACGTGCTTTAGATCGTTTAAATTGAATATCTGTTCGTACTAAAAAAAAAAGTTTTTGCTTTTGTGGGATAACGTTGGTTGCACAGATATTTTGCGACTGCATATAAATATTTAAATTATAATTAAAATTACACAAATTATGTTCTTCTATTTTATACAAGCGAGTAGCAGCATATCCTTCAGAAAAAACACTTTCAATGCATGTGCGAAAACACTGTATGTGCGCAGGCAAGCTCGTGGTAGCTAATCACGCCATGTAACGCCTAAAAGTGTGGTTTAGAAAAAAAACTTTTTGGTCGAAGCAGACAAAGATATTGAGACGTTCCCTTCCGTTCCTTCGACAAAACTTCTTGTTTTCTTCAGCAGAGTCCCAGGTGTTAAACGACATGATATTAAAGCATGCATCAAGATTAAGAGTAGCCTAATTAAATCATTCTTCAAGTGTGCGCAGATATAGCAAAACGCACGTTTTTCTTATGTACAAAAAGGGAAGCGAGAAAAACCGTTTGGTAGACGCTGCAACTCAAAAATGCAGCAGTATAAACCAAAAACTGGAAAGCGTCTTTGAGATAAATAAATAAAAGGTGATTGAGCAGAACCGAGCGTGTGTAGCACCATCTGTGAGTTGCATATTGAATCAGATTTTTTTGGCAGTTTTCCTTCCGGTGCATAGGACAAAAAGGTGCTTTTAGGCTCAAATATTTTTTTTTTACTGAATCCTACAATCATAAAATTAAGATATAATAAATGCACCACCTAAAACATGCTTTGAGAAAAGTTTCATTGGCTAATTTATACAAAACTTTTTACGCCCGGATAGCGCTCCGAAACTCGCTATATATGTATATGCCTGGTACGTACTTGATGTGTTGGTAATTTACGCAGTTTTATTAAAATTCTAGACATTGATTAACTTTTTGCCATCGTACTGCAGAAATCACGCATCTATCTTATCAGTCGGACAGAAGAGACGCGTGGCAGTTCATCTATGCGCGCTCCGCACCCCTGAAATGAGAAAAAAATAACAAGGAGTTTTTGAGAAACAAGAACCGTGTTTTTTGCATCGAAAAAAAAAATTGCGCTTTGCCGAAGGTCCGGACTCAGCCAAGATGTAGCGCTTGCTGCTGGGACCAGATGTCTGTAGGTAGTTTTAGCGAGTCGTTTTCCCACTAAAGAGCGGACCGCATGGTGCGTTTTTGCTCGCGATTCAGGCGCGTCGGCGTCAAACTGACGTCATTTCCTGCGCGCGGGCGCGCGTTTTCGCGGGAGCGTTGCTTTCTAGCCGACTCAGAACAAGACGCGCGCGCCGAGGCGCCGAAGCGGCTCTCGCCCAATGAGGGTCGGTCGAACTATCACGTGATCCTGCACAGTACGCTGTTTCGTATTCAGCACACTTCACAGTGTTGAAAAGCATTTTTATTTTCCATATAAAAATCGAAAAGGTGTTTTTTTTTTACACACAAACTCGTTTTATTTACTTATTGGTTCATTTAATTCTCATTTTGTAGTATTTGCGTCAACATTTACATCGCGTGTTGAGAATTCTGTTATCTTTCAACGCTGATAACGCGCGGCCGGCGATGCTTGGCTTTGTATGCATGCGGGTGCCCCCGCGTCAGCTTCCGCTCAAGCGTTCATAGCGCGTCGCGTTTTCGCGTACAGAAAAACGCGCCATGCGGTCAGCGCTTAACGGTTCGTCCTTGCACGCATCGGCAAGGCCTTTGCCAATGCTCGCGCGAGATGTTGTGGACCTCGGGATGTGCTTCTCGTACGTTAAACCACTCCGCGCTGGAGTCGCCATCGGAACACATCCAGCACTGTTCACAGCCTAAGTAAAAAGACGGCGATCGGTTTGGCGATTGACTCCGCCGACCAGGCCGAGCGTTAGGCTTTGGACACTTGTAGGCGATTTGCAAACCTGTGTCTGTGGTTTATTTGAGAGGTTGAACCAAATCATTTCTAGGACTGCTCACAATGGTAAGCGATCGTGAATGCTGCAAACTACGCCTTCTAGGAATGTTATTTGTCATCTGCAGGCTGACTAGCTGCCTTGGCGACCACGAGCAGACGAATTGATTTGATTCGACGCACAGAAAATGAGGGATCGTTCAAGTGGAAGGTCACGGAGACACGCCACCTGTATATGTGGTCGTTCGGACACTTTTTACTCTATCTAGCATCGCAAGTTTTAAAATTCCGGCTGATGGATTTTATGTCGGCAGTCTTGTTTACATCAGTCACGCGACGGAAACACGAACCGCCAGGTTTTTGCACGTTGCAGAATGTTTCCCATATTTACTACAAGATGGCGCTGCCGGTGAAACCCAATCATTATCATCGCTAAAACAGATGCGCCAGTTTTAGCATTCGGTAAAACATGTTAAATTTCCTATGCGATTTCACGAAACGGACCAACTGCACCGTTCATGATTTCAGAAGCGTGTGCTTTAAAAAAGACTCGCTAAAACTCCCTCATGTATCAGAACTTACCATTATCTTTATCAAACATTTTAAGCCAAAAAATGGTTTGGTCTACGAGAAACTCCGTCGAGCTGGAGACGCAGACGGGGCACGTCGGTTTTGGGGTGCATCTCTCAAATAGCACCTCCTCCTGGCTCAGCTAACCAGGCCAGTTCACGCGGCTAGTCGGATTTGAAAGTGGGGCAGCAAAATTAAGGCACTTGTCAAAATATCGTACCCCTTTCCTGAACTCTAGCACTTCTGGTTGCAAATATTTGAAACTGAATAAAGGCATAAATTTTATTTTCTCGGGGGTGAAATGAAAATAATATTTACACAATAAATATCAAATCAGACATCGTCTGCTTCTTTCTTCATGACCGCCGACGGACATCTACGCGGAACTTGCACGCATTGCTGTCATTTATTGTTATTGTATTGCAAACTCATGTTCCTAATGCGCATATTAACGCTCAAGCACCTGAACCAGGTTGCGTGGCGCTATAGTGAAATCAGGAGCGTTAAGAAGGTACGGAGTAAGTTCCCTTCAGTGTTCTGCTCACGGCCGCTTGGAAGATGGTCGGGTGTTTTGAGGAAAAGAGTAACATTAGCAACAATTCTCACATATCTGGAGAAAAAAAAAAGAATTTTGATTCACCGTCATCGGGGCCTTCGAGGCGGTTCCTCATTTGTCCATCCGAAGAGCGGCCCATCTGTTTGCGGGTATCAGCGACGTTTCTGGTACAAGCTATCCGGAAGATGGATCCTTACAAACTTTGTGGGGTGCATAAGCTGAAGCAAGGAGACCTTAAGAAGCGACTGCAATTTTGCCGGGTCGGGCTCCTCCGAAACGCTGACGATTCCATTCATCAGCAATTCCTGCATTTTACACAGGTGAATATTTCTAAGTGGAAACTAACTGACCTCAGCTGAATTGGTTTAGGGTGCAAATTTCCAGTTGCAACTGGCCCCGATTGGCACCAGTTGCAACTAGGGATGCCGCGAACTTTTTTCGAATCGAAGTTTCGATGATTGAATCAAGCGGTTCGAAAGGTTCGTAAGATTTCGAATTTTCGAACTTTTCATATCGAGAAATTCGACGGAAGTCGAATTTTTGAACTAATTAAACTAAGAAGTTCGACGCTTTTTGAATTTTCGAACTTATTACGAAGCAAAATTCGATGCTTGTCGAACTTTCGAACTTGATAAACTAAAAAATCGATGATTTTCGAACTTTCGACCTTCTTGCACTAAAAAGTCCGAAGCTTTTCGACCTTTCGAACTTCCTACGCTAAGAAATTCGATAATTTTCGAACTTTCGAACTTATTAATTTGAAGAATTCGAAAATTGTAGAACTCTCGATTCCTGAAAAGTCAAAAGTTCGACGAACTTCAAATTTTTAGGGTAAATGTTCGAAGTTCCTCGAATTTTGAAAGACCGGCGGGCGGTTTCATTTGGATTCAAGCTGTGAGGTACATTCGTAATTTTTTTTTTTTTCAAATTTTACATGGGGTGCCGCATTCCTTGCGAAATATAATGCCATTTATTTCAATCATCTGGCAGGCTTGGTTTTAAAGAAATAGATTCTCGAAGGAGCGAGGAAGGACGACGGGTTTTTGACAATTGTCGTTTGTGCCATATTTGATGCCCGCTATAGCCGAAGCTATTTATGGTAGAGATGTTAAACTTTTTATGAATGATCTATCTATAGCCAAGGTGAGTGTCGTCTTAAGATATAATTATTGTTGTTCAAGACGAGTTTCGAATAAATATCCAAACATGTACCTACGGACAATTATGCCCTAAACTTAGTAATTTTTTTCGCATACATTGTTTGGAGTATCGCATTTAAATTAACACCAGAGACAGTACGTATCATTACCATCTGCAGAATAAAAAATAATGTATTTATTGTTTCTTTTCACGTTGAGGAATAAATTAACTCGTGGGGGAAGATTTCTAAAATTGTTCAAGTTCAGCAGGTCATAAATTGTTTTTCTCATTTTACGTTTTTGGGACGTGTTTCTTTTGGCCTGTACACATTTTGGTCGGAGAAACTTATTTCATAGTTCTGGACATCTGAATATGCAAGAATACAACACTTCCGGCGGGTTCTTGATAGTTTTTTTTTCTCCAGCTTTTTATTTTTGCATTTATTGTTATATTTATTTATTGATTATTTTATACCGATGGCACAGTTATTTAGGTCGAAAAGACAGCTTTGAACTTTGGAGCCACCGAGCATGTGACGAGTAGTGCCTCCTGACAACGAGTTTCT